TTAACACATGGAATAATTCTGAACATGTGTAAGAAAGTCTTATCTATTTGGTCTAAACATAATACAGCTCTAAAAGGGTACAAGTTTAGTGAAATAGAATAATACTTCTCTCATTTTAGGTCCAACCAGTTATTAGATATGTTGTGAATAATGTTTGTATAATCATTATAATGAGTTCTTAGTGATTTTCCATTTCTGGATCAATGTATAGCTAACATATGGGAAATTTAACTATAAGTTATAGAACTGAAAATGAGTATTCTAAACCTTTACAATGTCCATATGGTGAAACAGTTAACAGAAGATGAGAAGTAGAAAGGGGAAAACAGAGGGAAATGTAGGGGTGGTAATTTCTTCATCAACATAGTAAGAGGTCAATAAATACTGTCTATTACTGATGGATCAAAAAATAGAGTTTTAAGTATAGTATTTAATTTTAAAAGAAATAATAGCAGAACTAAAAAGAAAAACTTAACAGAGAGGGAGTAAAGTATGCAAAATTTCTCATCTGCTTGTAGCAAGGAGTGAGTAAAACTGATAAATTAATAAACAAAGGTGTAAGATATTATTTATTGTTGAGAATTTATAAAAACTATTAAAAAAGTCAAAAGTAGTTACCTCTGAAGAGTAAGACAGAAGATGAAACGGCAAAATTGTACCTTCACTTAAAACTTTCGGTATTGTTTAAATTAATTCTCCATGTGCACGTTTTACATTTACAATTAAAAAACAGTTTTAGAGGCTGAGAGTGGTAGCTCAAGGCTATAATCCCAGCATTTTGGGAGGCTGAGGTGTGAGGATTGCTTGAGACCAGGAGTTCGAGACCAGTCTAGATAATATAACAAGACTTCGTCTCTACAAAAACATAAAAAAATTTGCCTGGCATGGTGGCGCATGCTTGTTGTCCCAGCTACTTGGGAGGCTGAGGTGGGAGGATCCTTTGAGCCTAGGAGTTTAAGGCTACAGTGGTCTTTGACTGTGTGCCACTACACTCAGCCTGACAGAGTGAGATCCTGAGCTAAAATAAAAAGTTTTAGGGTACAACAATTTAGAGGACAGCAGAGAAAAGGAATCAATGATTGGAAAGTAAGGTCTTTTGAAATGGGCTAAAGGGAAAAGGATTTGATTATATGAAGAAAGATGAGTAAAAGCCATTTTTAAAAAGTTACTATAGAAACAGGGCTACCTACAATAGAAAATGACTCTTTACCCTGAAAGCCAACCAAGAGAAGCCCCAACTATAGCAGAAAGCACTTAGGGGCTATAATGGAAAATATCCACCCCAGAGCAGACGGGAAGAGACACTGGAGAATCTCATTCCCTAAGGATTTTTCACAGGGCAGTAAAAATCTGTGCTCTGACTTATTGACTAGGTAGATGCTATCAAGAGGCAGAACTACAGTCTTTAAAGATCGCATATAATTTCATTTACAACATGACTCACATACTTTATTTCAATAAAGACTGGGCTACAATTGTTAAAACTAATAGAATCCCCTCTTGAAGTCTGCTCTGGAGTATATGAGTTCAAAAGGAAAATCTTTTATGACTTATCATTTGCTTATCTTCTTAAGGAATATTTCTTAAGGAGTAACTTGAAAATGGGAGGTACAGCAGATTCAGATTAGGCCTACAAACACAAAATATTAACCCTTGAGTCCACTGATCCTTAGAGGGTTAACAGGTACTTGCCTTCTTGTTACTACTTTTGCTATTCTAATTGTTTATTTACTAATTTGTAAAAGACTGCTCTAGCATCTAAGTGCTAAAATACAAAGTTAAAAACATATAAATTATTTAGATCCACTAACTAATGGAAACAAAAAATAAAAAAGGGAAAAAAGATGTTGATGACTTAATAAAAAGCTACTGGGAGAAGATCTAAAGAGAGAATGAGTTGTTGAAACAAGAAAAATCCATTTAACTAAATACAAAATTTTCATGACATGTACCTGGAATTATCAACTAGCTCTTGTAAAAAACCCACATTGGATAGCACCATCAACATAGGGGCATAAAAGAGATGAGGAATCCAGTTTATAATATGAAAAGAGACAGGTGGTAATAACTAGTAAGACATGTAAAAGTTGACAAGCTTTGAGGAAGCAGAAGGTCTGCTTTTGGAGTGGTACATCCAATAAGCAAAGACCTTGGAAAGACAACTGGATGGTTGCTCATTGACCTTGGAGGCCTCCCTATTATATAAAAGGGGTTCTAGGAGCTTGGGGATAAGTTAACCACTTTGTTTCCCCTTTTTCATCACTTAGTTTGATTCAGCCCTCGTTAGTAATGCTTTGATCCTAGGAGGCAATGTGCTACAGAGCCAAGAGCCCTGGGTTTAACTTTTTTTTTTTAGTTGGAGTCTCACTCCGTCATCTAGGCTGGAGTGCAGTGGCATGCTCATGGCCACCCCAGTGTTGACCTGCTGGGCTCCAGCGATCCTTCAGCCTTAGCATTCCAAGTAGCCAGAACTACAGGTACATGCTAACACGCCCAGCTAATTTTTTGATTTATTGTAGAGACATGGTCTCACCATGTTGTCCAGACTAATCTTGACCCCGTGGGCTCAGGCAATTCTCTTGCCTTGGCCTCCCAAAGTGCTGGGATTACAGGCTTGAGCCACCACACCTGGCCGGGTTTAACATCTTAACTGTGCTCTTTGAAAAAGAGGCTGAGATTGGATACAAGATTTGTGCTCCATTGGGAAGTGGCTGCCTAGCCAGGAAGTGACTACATTTCCCAGTCACACAAGCATCTCATGTGGCAATGTGACTAGTTCTCCCTAGTGGCACGTGAGTAGAAGGGATATACACTAAACCTAGGCCACGACTTTTTGTAACTAGGTATACTTTCTCTCGTTTCTTTCCCCGTCTGGCAGCTAGATACAGATGATGCTGATGAGGGCCTAGAACGATGGCAGAAGCACATGAAGGAAGTTGCTGGAGTTTCGCAGTCAACTGTGGGGGAAAAGCTATTGAACAACCAGGACCACCCACACTTGCTGTTAAATAATTGAGAGGTAAATTATTGTAAATTATTGTCACTGAAATACTGAAGTTTATTTTCCATAGTAGCAAGTGTTAACCTACCTAAAATAAACATGCTATCTGATAATTACTATAACAGTGGTGATGTGTTAGACACTGCATCAAACAGGACATCACTAATGCTATTAAGAAATCTTGACCAAAGCCCGGCTTGGTGGCTCAGCCTGTAATCCCGCACTTTGGGAGGCTGAAGTGAGTGGATTGCCTGAGCCCGCGGGTTTGAGACCCGCCTAGGCAACTTGGCGAGACCTCATCTCTACAATCAAAAAATTAGCCGGGTGTGGTAGCACGTGCCTGTAGTTCCAGCTACTTGGAAGGCTGAGGTGGAAGGATCGCTGGAGTCCAGCAGGTCGAGGCTACAGTGGCCGGGAACAGCTACTGCACTCCAGTCTGGGTGACAGAGTGAGACGCCAACACACACAAAAAAATCTTGACCAAAGAAGCACATAAAAAGATGCTCAACATCACTAGTCATCAGGAAAATACAAATCAAAACCAAAATGATATGCCACTTCACACCCTCTAGGATGGCTATGGTCAAAAAGATGGACAATAACAAGTGTTGGTGAGAATGGGGAGACATTAGAACCCTCAAACATTGCTAGTGGGAAAATAAAATGATGCACCTGCTCTGGAAAAGTTTGGAAGTTCCTTAAAGAGCGAAATACAGAGGTAGCAGATGACCCAGTAATTCTACTTTAGGTATATACCCAAAGGAATTAAAACCACATGTTCGTACAAACATGTACAGGAATATTCACAACAGCATTATTCAGGATAGCCAAGAAGTGGAAACAATTCAGATGTTTACCAACTGATAAATAGATAAACAAAATATGCATAAAATGGAATATTATCCAGCCATAAAAATAAATAAAATTTTTATGAAATTTGCTATAACATGGATGAACCTTGAAAACATGCTAAGTGAAAGAGGCCAGGAACAAAAGGTCACATAACATATATTTCCATTTATATAAAATGTTCAAAATATGCAAATTCACAAAGACAAAAGGTGAATTATTGGATGCTGGGGAGTTGGGGAAAAAAAGGAAGTGTCTTTTTGGGGTGTTCTGGAGTATTAGATAATAGTGGTGGGTGCACAACACTGTGAATATACTAAAAACTACTGAATTGTATACTTTAAAAGGGTGAATTTTATAGTATGTGAATTTCATTTTATTATTTTATTTTTTGAGTCAGGGACTCACTCTGTTACCCAGACTGGAGTGCAGTGACACGATCATGGTTCAATGCAGCCTTGACCTTCTGGCCACAGGCAATCCTTTTGACTCAATCTCCCAAGTAGCTGGGACTACAGGTGAATGCCACCACGTCTGGCTCATTTTTAAAGTTTTGTAGAGATAAGGTATCATTATGTTGCTCAGGTTGGTCTCATATTCCTGGGCTTAAGCAATCCTCCCACCTCAGGCTCCCAAAGTGCTGGAATTATAGTTGGGAGCCATTGCACCTGGCCTATATCTCAATTTTAAAAAGAATTTGCTCTACCTCTCCTCCCACAAACTCTGGCTCTACACAAAAGGCACTGAGTTCTTTTCATACCTTAATTCTAGCCAGTCCGAACCCACAGAATCCTTTCTCCTAGCTTGTCCTGCAACCAAGCAAACTCAAACAGAGCTCCGGTACCATATGCATTCTTTCTGCTGGCCTGTGGCGAACCTAGCCTACTGGGCTTTCCTTAGTCTGGATAACAGTGTAGCTAACACTGAGATGAGATAAATATTTAAAGCTATTCCTGAGAATGATATGAGGGTGGGGAAGAAATAAAGGCCCCTAGAATAACTATTAAAATGTATATTGCTTCAGCGAAATTCTCTAAGGAAGAAAAAAAAATTTCTAAAGGGGTAGTGTGAGATGTTCTTTGGAACTTCTGAATCCATAGAGAAGACTGTTTTTTCAATTGGAATAAATTTCTGAAAGGACACAACTTACTTGCAGGTGACTTTAGTTTTGTCTGCAACCATGGTCCACTGTTGCTGGTTGGTAGAAACCTCAACATAGTAGCTATAGCTTCGATCATCACAGTCCCAAAGCAGTAACCTGAAAAAAGGGAAAAACATAAGATTGCTGTTAATGTTCTGACTGAATCCTTAGCAGCAGGCATGGGGGAATCTATGTCTACTCTGTCTCTCCCGCCTGCCTCCTTTGTCTCACAACCCTTCCAGGACTGGAGAGAGAAAGTGAATCTCAACACAAGTATGAATAGAACAGGTGCAGTCAGTCTGCAGTGAGAGACTTGTCTCTTTAGGAAATTATTTTAAAAGTCCCCCAATCCCAGGCAAACTTTGTCCCCCTCATGGTAAAGTTCTTCGGATTGGCTTAGGAGGGAGTGGATGTCCCCAAATCATGCTTCTTGCATCTTCCAGCTCTCCACTCCAGCTGGCTTGGTTGACCACTGCTCATGGAGGAATCTGTACTTTCTAATAGACTTTGCTAATTGTATTTTCTATTTGGTGATAACCCTATGACCTTTATTATTATTTTTAGGTTCTTTCTCATTTTCACCAGAATTTTTACATAGTTTTGATAAGATTATCTGATTTGGAGATGGAGCCAAACATAAATTCATTAGTAAAACTTTCCTACTCATTATTTAGAAATCAAATGTCTTGGTCCTGTCCCTCTTATCCCCCTTTTCTGCCTAGATAAGAACCTAAGCATTAACTGTATTAATACATTTACATGAAGTTCAAAGCAGACAAAGTTTAATTGTGACAGGAATCAGAATAGTAGTTACCTCTGGGGGAGGTATCAATGGGCAAAGGGCATGAACCTTCTAGAATGCCAAAAATGTGCTACTTTTGATCTGAGTTGTAGTTACATGGATATATACATTGTAAATATTCACTGACCTATATACAAAAGATTTGTTTATACTGTGTATGTTATTCCTCAACTTAAAAAGTAAGAATTAAAAGAAGAATCTGAGCATTACAATACAGGATCAGCATTTTGCTTCTGACAATGCCACAGGGAAGACAAATTATTGTTTTCTATAATTTCAGCCTTTAAAGTCCTTCCCATACAAAATATGTATCTTGTTGCTTTATAACTGGTCATGAGTCTTTGCTTCCTCCACCAGCTAGAACAGAAAGTTAGCTCCTTGAAGGCAATGCCTATATCTTACTGATTTTTCTATACCCTGTACTTGACATAATGTCTCATACAGAGCTTACAGTCAGTCAGTGTTTGCTGAGCAAATACATTACTTGTAACCACAGCAATAATAATGATCATGCAAGCCAACATTTATTTAACGCTTACTGTGTATCAGGCCTTATGTTAAGTGCCCTATACAATTTATCTTATTTAATCCTTCCAAATAACTTCTTAGCAAGCACTTACAGATGGCGACAGTGAGGCTTAAAGCTGTTAAGTAACTTGTCTAAACTTATACAGTGAGTGAGTGGTGGATATAGGCTTGCAACCTGGTGTCCTGACTCAATGCCCAATTCTGTAATCCCATAGCCAAATGATTCTATTACACCCAGTTGTAATGTTGGCCACAAGAAATTGAAAATATTTCACTGTTATGAAAATTCTGTGATGAGCATTTTCTGTGATTATTGCCTTTAAAGGTTTCTATAAGTGAACTTTGGCAGCAGGGCGTATAAACATTCTGAGGTGTAGTTATGTATCATAATCTGCAACCTATAATCTATCATTCCATAAAGTAGTTTGTAATTTTTTGCCTTAATCTTACAGTTATTATCAATGAAAATCTTTCACACAAGTTTAGTATCACATATAAAGCTATCATTGAGGATTAGAACTGTCCCTATGTTCCCCATTTCCCTTATACCCTCTGTTCCTTATTTTCAATTATGATTGTATTTGCTATCAATGACTAAAGCTACACTACCTAATATTCTGGAACTCATCTTTGAAGTAGAGAAAACTGTTAAAGGGTTTTGGAAAGCATAAACAGATGACATCTACTGATTCCCTTTAATTCATCAGGGTATTTAATCTCTCAACGTATTCTGAATGTATCAGAAAGGATTCTACTCAATTGCTCTTAAGTGTCCAAAAATTCTACTCTTAGATTATACCAACTTGCCTGACAAGAAGTGAATCATTTCCCTTAACAGTTTTTCTTGAATAGTATTCTAATCTCTCAGTGCTTTTATGCCATTAGTCTATGCTAATTTATATTTATTTTGAGTAACTTTTAAAAGTGTAGTTCTTCCATGTTTGCCTGGTTGTCATTTTGGTTTAAGTCTTTTAGAAAGAATTTTGATCTTTCTTTGAAAAAAAAAAAACAAACTCTACTTCAAATATGTGGGCTCAGTTTTTAGTGTATGTTCCATACATGCTCTGGGACAAAATCCTTCATAACTCTGCCAGTGTACATTAAAACTAAAGAAAACTTCAAATTAATTACTCATTCTCTTAATTTAACAGCTTTAGTAACAGTTTTGTTGGGAGATAATTTTGAAGATATTTCCCCCAATGGAACTTTGCGTTAGGAACTTTGAGTTATTTAGGGAGAACCAGATTTATCACAACTCCTGTCCTTCCAGATAATCATGAGTTGGTGTTTCTACACAGTATCCAAATAAAAACAATTAGTCCCTTTTGGGATAGAACCTAACCAGATCTCAAAATATTTCATAAAAAAAGACTGCCTTGAGGATATGGAATATGGAGAAGAGAAAAAAGAAAGACCAATTATGAGTATCATAAATGTTCTAGTAGGCATTCTTAAAATGATAACAAATTAGAAGAATTTTTAAAGTTGTATATACCAACTTTATACTTATAGAGTAAGCCCTGTAAGTAGCTTACACTATAAAGTCTTCCAATTTGTTTCAAGGCAAATTATTATTTTAAAATGAAGATAATCTGCAATTCCAGTAATTTTAAAAACACATGTACATAGAGTGCATTGTTTGTAACCTGCTTCTTTTGCTTAGTGAGCTATTATGGATATGATTTTTGTATATCAAATATTCTTCTACATCATGTGTACTGACTTCATAGTATTTCACTATATGAAGTCCCATAATTTATTTTGTCAGTCTCTTATTAATGAACACAAGCAATAGATAATATTTCACTGTTATGAAAATTCTGTAGCCAGGCTCGGTGGCTCAGCCTGTAATCCTGCGCCTTTGGGAGGCTGAGGTGAGTGGATTGCCTGAGCTCACGGGTTCGCGACCCGCCTGGGCAGCGAGACCTCATCTCTACAATAAATCAAAAAAATCAGCCAGGTGTGGTAGCGCACGCCTGTAATTCCGGCTACTTGGAAGGCTGAGGTGGAAGGATCGCTGGAGCCCAGCAGATCAAGGCTGCGGTGGCAGGGAGCGGCCACTGCACTCCAGTCTGGGTGACAGAGTGAGACTCCAAGTCAAAAAAAAAAAAAAAGAAAATTCTGTGATGAACATTCTTAAGCTAAATCTATGATTACTGTCTTTAAAGTTTTCTGTAAATGAACTTCTGCAGCAGGGCATATAAACATTTTGAGGCCTTGCTGTGTATCACAAAATAGCTATATACTCCTCTTCCCTTCAGCCCCAAACAAAAAATTACATCAATTTATACTAATACTATCAGCAGTGTATAACAGTGCCTGTTTTTGTGTATCATCACCAATATTGTGTAAGATGTTTAAAAATACTACCAATTGACAGATGAAATATACCTCATTAATCTGCAGTTCTTAACTTATCACTGAACTTGAACATTTTACCCATATTTGACCTATATTTATCCTTTCACTAAAGACTTACAAAATGTCCTCTATAGTTAAAGGATATTAATCCACTGCCTATCATAGTTTGTATGCTGAAGATATTAATTTTTATTAGCCTAGTCTATCGATCTTTACCTCAATAATTTCTGTTGGCCTAAATTCTTTTCTTCTGAACAGCAGCCAAGTGCACATACTGGTTGAGACATCGCTTCTCTATTCCTCTATTAAGAGTCCCTGGGGGCTAGAAATGTGGAGTCATGGTGACTTCTGAGAGGAAAAGGGACACTGATGAATCTCAGGTCATCAAGCCTAGGGCTCAGACTCACCTACACTGTGGAGTTTTTAAGAGGCCTTGCTGTAGTTCAGGTGCTAGAATGCATATTTGCTTAGAATTTAGGTTTACTTGGGAATGAAATCCCTTTGCTGATTCAACTTAAAAAAAGGAAGTGTTCTGAAAAATTGGCTCAATCTCTTCTTTTCCATCAACAGGAATTTTGTTCTGTAGGGCATAACCAAAAAATCCACCAACTCCCTTTACTTCTTTCCCTGGCTGTGAAGTGTGTTCTTATGTCTTTGCACCTGCAACAAGACAGAGGTATGTCTGACTTGAAATCTGGCTAAAAATGTTTGTACAGTGAGCTCGCCAGTTAAGGACACTCCCTCTGACCTTAACTGATTTAAACATACCCCTAACACATCCATCCACACATCTCCACTCATACATCAGAAACCATTTTCAAAAGGGGCTGAATAAAGGAAGTTGCTGCCCAAGATCTATTGATGCAGATCGGGTCTGCGTTTAGCTGTTACCACAAACCTCTCTAACTAATGAGCACTGCATGAAATGCCTGGTGATATTATATGTTGTCTCCTCCATCATCCCTTATCCTCATTGTGAAATTTTCCTAAAAGCAGTGAAGTGCTGGGTTTTTTAAAATTGATTAGCAGATGTGATTTTGCTTACATCTTCCATAAATGCTCTGGCTGGCTGCATACCATTGATTACCAGGGGTTCAGTTTACAGCAACTAATTGCTCTCCTTGCTGGTGTTTTGATACAAAATTCAATAGTGAATATGTTTTCAAAACTCTGGTCTTTGTGGCTTGAGTCAGAAGTGACTTGAGGCAAACCCAGTGGACTGAGTTTTCCCTTCTTTAAAATAATTGCTCTCTCATCAGTCTGTGAAGAAAGTTTCCAAATTGTAGCATTCTAATTGGAAAGTCTGCATTATGCATGCGATGACAAACTATGTTGTGCTGAATGGCATTTTTTTCATCCTTTTCTTAAGGGATTAATTCTGTGCCAGATTGTGAACAATGGCTGAAGTGTAACAGTTGAGATCAAC